AAGGCACCTTCTTAAAGTAAAACTTTGAAACAAACATTTTTTCTATTTAATTTCTGATCAAAGAGATTTTTGTCATTTACAAACTAAATTGTGTCTCTCCAACATTCACACATTAAAGCCCAGTTCCCAATGTGATTGTGTTTGAAAGCTGAGGTCAGAGAGTGATCTTAGTACATGTGACTAATGTCCTTGTAAGAAGAGGAGTCACCAGGAATGCACGCACATAAAGCAGTGATCATGTGAGGACACAGTGATAAGGTACTAATCTAATGCCAAAGGCAGAAGCCTCAGAAAAATTAAACCAGCCAACAGTTTGATCTTGTACCTCCAGTTTCCAGAACTTTGAGAAAGTTCACTCCAATAATTTTACTTTAACCCATCCAGTCTATGGCATGTTGTTGTGGCAGCGTAAGACAGGTAGTGATAATTTAAAATAAATACTTCTATATATCACCAACCTATAGTACCATATTTGGATTTCTGAAATAAGACTTAAAAATCCTAGGGGATTTTTGTGTCAGTTACATTTCAGTTCATTTTAAAATCTGCATGTAATAAAAATTGTAAAGCTTTCATTCTAAAATGAAACATGGGCTTACTTAATTGCTACATCTAAATCAATGTTTCCAAGTCCAGCTAACCAAAAACATAAATTTACACTTATAAATCATATTGCTTTATGTGTTTGTAATTTATAGATATAAAATCATTTATAAATATATACATGCATATCCATGGAGGGAGAGCATTGTGCATTTACCTCAGATTAAAACTAATGCTAATTAATATGTATATATTGGTACCTAAATAAAATACATTTTAAAAATATACTGGCTAGTAATAGGAATTTGCACCTAGTATAAAACACCAAATTTAGCTCCTGTGTTCAAATGAAAAAGAGAGAAAACATCATTTCCTATAATGCAAATACTGGGATCTTCGTATTTGTTTTCTCTGCAGGTGTTCTTGTTGCTCCCTGCCTAACCTCTACTCTGAAGACAGAGGTTGTGCAGAATGCTACGCATGTTGTTTCCTTATTTAAGCTTTCTTTCATTGCCTTCAGCACAGTGGTCCCCAATATGGTACTCAGCGTTTCCTGCACCTTTCCAAAACTATCCCATGCCTGCGCCGAAGCCTGATCTTGCAGCCCTGGATCGTGTGTGTCCTTGACAGCTGAAATATTTTTGGTTCTTACAATGACTCATGTTTGCCTCATAACCCTGGGCTCAGGCAAAGGCTTATTTTCCATGAGGTCAGGAATGGCCATGCACAAGTATAAAGCAGGATTTTTTTCTCAGAGATTGCTGTGATTTGGATGTGTCCCCAAGATTTCATGTGTTGAAAATTAGTCCCCGGTGCTAGGTGTTAAATGATTAGAAATTTAACTTGACCATAGCATTTATAGCTGAGGCCTTTGGGACTTTATTAGAACTGAAATCATTACAGTGTTTTTTTCTATAACTCAATTCTTGAAGCATTTTATGAAAAGGGAGAGAGATTACATATGTGCTCCTGTCTCTCAGTATGGATTACTGAGCATTCTGTAGGACTTTGTTAGCAAGAAGGCCAGTACCATCTACTCCCCCTAAGCCGTGAACCTGAACTGTGAGACAAAATGATGCCTTTTCCTTGTCACGGAGCAGCCATAGACATTCTGTCCTAGGGACAAAATTGAAAATTGAACTAAGATAAAGCTCTTGCTATTCCACACCATATTTTACTTCTCCTTCTGGCCTCTCATGCCTTGCAAAACCCCTGTTTGCTTGTTATTTCCTCCTGATACTGTGAGAACTGTAGACATCACAAGGAGGTCTCTGTTGCTTCATCCTCAGGAATCTGACAGCATTTTGTACACAGTAGGCTCACCACACACGCTGCTTGGTTTGAGCTTACTGAAGAGAAACATACATATATACATGTATATATATGTATCGCATATATATGAAATAAATGTTTTCTAAAAAATCCTATAATTTTTCAAGTATGACTACTAAATTTAAAATTAAAAAATGTTCCTTATCATACAAATTACCTCCTGCTTCTGTTTTTTTGTTTGTTTGTTTGATTTATTTATTTATTTTTGTTTTCCTTCATATGGCCACATTTAACACTAGGCAGAGGTTCAGCAAAGATTTAAGTAGTTATATAATCACCAGGGGTCACTCTTACAATTTTGAATCTGGCAAACCTCAGTAGGTTATTTTCCTTAAAATGGTTTGATTTTAACACTTTGTTCTCCAACACAAAGCTTTCTGTGATGATACCTGATGGCAGTATCTGCCAAATAAATTAAATAAAAGCTATGTGTAGTTTTTGGTTATTAAATATGGTCAGGATGGTTTTCTTGTAGATAATGGGAAAAAAGCAATAAGGTACTGGAAAACCTGATCCTCCAAGCTCATATAAATGAATTCAATGTCACTGAAGCAAGTATCACAGATTTATAGAAATATAATGGATAATCTTGCTCCTGGGAGCTGTAGGTAAACTCCCCACAGATGTGAGTGCTCTGCTAAACTACCTGCAGAAAGACAGGCATCTCACTTGGTTCTTAAAACCACTACGTCCCATCTCAGCAGGATTCTTACTCACAAACAGGCTAAAAGGAAACTCACAGACATTTGCAAATGACAGAGACAGAGACATGGCAAAAAGACAAACAAATCTCTTTTTAGCCGCTCTGTGATCACTTTTATATTTGTACCTGTGCTCAAACCATCCAGGTAATTAGTGCATGGCAATCAATCATGCATCTTCAGGCAGACAGGAGCTTAGGTGTCTGGCGTTTGATACCCCATATTCCAGGAGCAAGGATTTAAGTGATCAGGGAAGGGAAGAATGATGAGAAACTGGAGAGAACACACAGAAAGCCCTGACCTGGGCAGGGGACCCCTTCACTTGATCAGTAAATCAGTGAGCAGGAGCATGTTTTCAGGAGGAATTATACCAGATGGAGATAGAAGTATTGCATCTAAAAATAAATTCAAGATTTGAGGATAACAGCACACCACTTGCTTAAACTGTGGAGCACACAGTTCAAGCTCTAGCAGAGTCAAAATTAAAATATGGTCAACAATGAAGTTGCCCATATAGAAAAATTGAAAAAAAAAAAGGCAGTAATCTTTAAAGGCAGGTGGAATTCCACCTCAGCCACTAAAAAACAATGTAACCATAAGAAATTTGTGAGCTTCAATTTTCTTATTTTTATAGTGGAACTACAGGACAAAAATACACACAGCTATATAAAAACACATGCATGCACAGATACACATAAACATATGTACAACACTGCATTTAGTGTATATTGTATTTATCCATCAGGTACATGTAGTCACATATGTCCCTAATTATGAATAAGTGGCAAAAACTATCTAAATACATTCTTTTAAATTTTTCTATCCAAAAATAACATATCTCTGTGATCAAAAACCAGGAACTATTTATCAGTACCAGGGACCAAACTTATGACTGCCTGCTTGCAAGGCAGGCACTTATGCCGCTGAGCTAAATTCCCAGCCCCCAAAAGACAAAAATAAATAAATAAATAAATAAATAAATAAATAAATAAATATCTGGAACTATGAACCAAGTATACAATGGAGGGTCAAGATAGAATATTTAATATTGGATTTATCCCAGAAGACCCAAGGTGTTCATTTCCTCCACAATAGTAGGGGAAAACTTCCTTTCCAGTCTTTCCACCTGTTTGAAAGGCATCATAAACCATTTATTGATTTTTCTAAAAGGGGAAATAAGAAGAAATATGTTTCCATTGACTATGAAGCCTAGCCATTTCAGTTACAAACATGGACAACTGTCCTGACAGACACTCTCAGAGGGCTGGCTTGGGCTGCGTCTGCAGAACACTTCACAAGTTAGACACATCTCCACCTGCCGTGTGGGGGGTGGGCAGGGGTTTTTTTGGTATCAAGTACAGCCACAGAACAGCAGGTCACAGCAGGGCCCCTTTCTGGGCTCTGCAGACCCTGCATGCCACAAGTGTGGGTTAACTCTGTACCCGGCCACATGTTTCCCACAGTCTCAGCTTCCAGAATCTAGGAAGAGAACTGTAATGAAAGCTGCAAAGTACAGACAAGGCTGTTTAAGGAATTTGGTGGCCAACACTGAGAAGGAAACTCCATGAGCAGCTTCGTAGATCTATTCATGGAAGTGTGCTGAGTCTACCTCCAAAGCACTTGTTAAAGAAGCCTAAAAAAGCACCAGTACTGTTAATCGTTAAGATACCCCAAGATAAATATTCTTTCTGCAATGTTGTTCTTTGATGCGCTGTACAATGTTAATAATTTTGCACATCATTGTTCTGTTTTACAAATGGATATTACCTGCCTTCTGTAGGTAAAGAAACATAGATACTTGGGGTTGAGAGCAGAATCTTGTGCACAGAGATCTCATATCTCATATCAAATACTTAATCTCTAGCATATTGTTTCTTTTATTTCAAACAAGATTATTGAACCTCCTTGCACGTTTGGAAAAGATCAAACAAAACCACAATTATACTATTTTTGAGGCATAGTCAAAAATACCACCCACTAAATAAGTAGTCACCTTATTAATAATAGTATTATCATTGTCAATATTATGAAATTAAAAAAAAAAAAACCTAACCTTCTTATTTGCTTCATGACCAGTTGTAGAGATTGTTGTTTGTACTCTACTTGCAGTTCTTCGAGTGCTATTATTATCAGGATTGACTGGGACCACACTTGACCTTCCTTTCCTTTGTATTACTTGAAACATTTGCAAGAATAAATGGTGTGAACCAAAGATTCTTAACCCACAAAAATGATCTGAGGAAAGAGGAGTGAGAAATGTGACTTCTAAGATTCCTTAGCATCTGTACTTCCCAAAATATTTTGATTTCATCACAGAATGCTTACTTACACTCATTATACATTAGTTTCTTGGTGGAGAAGATGGAATATATCTGTGATTTGTACAAAAGAGAGTGTCATTCCAATAAAATGAAAGCAAATATATAAATAGATCAATTTCTTTATTCCGGGATACAAACTCAACATAGTATAAAGTTAAACTTATGCATACACTGAGCTGACTGGACCATTCACCTTTTGAAGAACACTTGAAAAATTTAACGATTTCTTCAAACACGTGGCTCATCTCCCAGTTTGTAGCTTGTTCTTATACAATATTCTATTATACCGTGTATATTAATAATGCCTATAAACCTTAATGAAGATGCAAATTCCACAAGAAGAAAGAAGAATATAGTATTTTTCTTGAAAATACTTAATAGAGATTATCATGATTTGGGAGGATAAACTCCCAAACTCATCCTGGAAAGATAGAAATTTCCTGGGAATCGGAGGAATTTTTAGAAAGGAAATATGAACAAAAAGGGTTGACTTATCCAGGTCATTCATTCCTTCACTATTCATCCATGCATTTCGTTCATTGATCATTTTAAAGGAGACATTGCTACCATGATACATGTGCAATATAGAAGTTAGGCTTGCAATGTACAATTCAACTCAGTCCCTGAATTCAGAATGTCTAGTGAAAATGAAGAAATCTGCTATAAAAGTCAGTCAATTATATGCATAGTCTTAAGACATACCTACAGCAAACAGAAACAAAAGAGGAATCAAAATGCTGAGCTACACTGATATTGGGAAGGCATAGAATAAGAGAATAGCTATTATTTCAATTGTGTATTGTATAATAGTTCATCAGGAAGATAATTTCACATAGGGAAGAACCTAACTGGAGTTTTACTAAACATTACATGTCCAGAACAAAAAAAAACAAAAAAACAAAAAAACAAACAAAAAAAAATTACCTGTTTTTACACTGCAGCTGTCTTTTTACAATTCTGATACACTTGGAAATAAATCTGAGTAAACCAATCCTAAAAATGAAAATAAACCTGGTGCTAAAGTTAAAATATAATCACTAATGTTAATTCGGAGCTTAGCATGCACCAAGCACTACTTGAAATATTCTACGTACCACTTATTAATCTGGATCAGGAGTACGCGAGGAGGCCAAAAGCATTTCCGCTTCACAGGTGAGGAATGTAAAGCTCTAACAGCATCATCAAATTTTTCAAGTCTCATCTGGTTGAAACCCAAAATCGTGGTTTTCTGATTCTGAAATCTGTCTTTGAATAGTTATGAAATACTGTAATTTATCCCTATTATTCTGAATATTCTTCCAGCATCGTGGGAATAATGACGAGCAGTTATCAGAATTAACTTGCAGTACAGTGGAAATGAAGAAAGCCATCACCTCAAAATGAATCTTCCCTTAGTCAAAATCCCAGGCAATCCCTATGCAATGTTTTTTAACATTGGTTTTGTCCAACACCTATACATTCCATATGAGACAGACTCTAGGAACCAACCATTTTATCAGCCGATTTTGGTTGTTAACTTGCTACCGGAGCCTGACTTCTCTGTAACACAGTAAAGATATGCCCTCCCCTCAGGGATTTCCCCAACCTCGCCCCTGGAGGAACACTGTGAACTGAAATCCCTTTCTGTTTTATGTGTTAACCTTCTTATACATGGCCCCAAATCTGAATACATGCAAAACCTATGATTCTTGGCTTTCATCTAATTATTTCAATTTCTTTAACCATTTGCCTAATAATCCCATGTCTACTCATATTTCTGGTCTCTCACTTAGGACCAATTGTAACTAATCACTGACCTATGATAATTAATCCTATGAAATGAACCAACTTATCCTGGGATATTGTCCCTGGAGAACAAACATTCTCTTTCAGTGCTGTTATTAATTGAATAGCACTGAGTAGCCACAGCACTGGAGTGAGTTATAAACTGAAATGCAAGTGATTGTTTCTCAATGCCAATAAGCCATCTGCATGTTTCCTCTACTTATAACTGGAATTACAGAAGTGGATCCCAAATATTTCCCTTTTTAATGCCCTGCCAGATACAGAAAAGTCATACATTGAAAATTCTTTTCCTTCGAAAATATTTCAAGTAATTTTATTATCTGGAAAGTTCATGTACTTAGAATATTCACTGAGTGATCAGGAACTTTCATCATGAATAAATTTTTCAGGGGTAACAAGAATCACAAAAGCAATAGAAACTCATCCTTCATTCACCCTTCTGTACAAAATGTTCCTTGAGCTTTGAGGCCCTAAGGAAGCTAAAATGAGTCTTTGCTTTATTAGCACTCATAGACTAAAGAGAGCTACAATAAACTATAATCACACTTGAAAGCCTGAGCACAGCTCTATGGGAAACAGAGCAATAAATGATTACTTGTCTGAAGGAAGAGAAGAGGACTTCACAGAAAGATGGCCTTTGAGCTGCTTCATATGGATGATTTTGGTAGTCAAAGAAGACAAAAAAGTAAGCCCTAATAGAGAAACATGTTGTAAGCAGATAGAGAGAAAAACTACCGAGACACCATGTTGAGAATGGTGCAGAGCTTAGTACATGGGAATGCAGTGAAGTAATGGGAGGAAACCACGGACAATGGTCACCAGCTTGTATTTTAAGAAGACCTTGCACACTATTACACCACTTTGTAAAAGCTGACTTTTTAAAAACCTGAGATACAGCATGAGCTTCTTTTAAGAGGAGGAGCTGCGCGGATCCGGAGCGCCTGCAGAAGCCCCTTCATTTGTCTGGAGGAGGAGGGATCCCGGGTTCCTGAGGCACCACGGCCTGTGCCCAGTCGCGCCTAGCCATCGGTGTGCAGAGGAGGAGCTGCGCGGATCCAGAGCGCCTGCAGAAGCCCCTTCCTTTGTCTGGAGGAGGAGGGATCCCGGGTTCCTGAGGCACCTCGGCCTGTGCCCAGCCGCGCCTAGCCATCGGTGTGCAGAGGAGTGTTGGGAGCCGCAGCCGAGCCCGGTCGCCTTACTTGGCGGACGTGAGGCCTGTAAGAAAGAGCAAAGCCTAAATTAGATTACCCCTCCCATCGAGTGTGCTAAGATGGCGCTTGTCTCCTGCTTCCTGCTTGGTAAACAACCCGCCCTGTAAGATAGTCTGCCTAGCAACAACTGATGTTAGCCAATCAGCCCGCATCGCGCGCTTTGAACTGATTGGCCACTGTAACCCTATAAAAGTGAGTGCCTCTCCCGCCACGAGAGAAGAAGCACGGAAGGAGCCACGGAGAGCGGACCGGTAGAGGCTTCGGGACAGACTGTAGAGAAGAAGCACGGAAGGAGCCGCGGAGAGAGGACCGGTAGAGGCTTCGAGACAGACTGTAGAGAAGAAGCACGGAAGGAGCCACAGAGAGCGGACCGGTAGAGGCTTCGGGACAGATTGTAGAGAAGAAGCACGGAAGGAGCCGCGGAGAGCGGACCGGTAGAGGCTTCGGGGCAGACTGTATAAGGAGAAAATAAAGAAAAGCCTGACCACCGCCAGATATTGTTGCATGCTGTTCCTGCCGGCCGGGAGCGACACCGACAACTGGTGGCCCGAACGGGGACTGATCAACCCCGAGACGCTGCGGTGGACTGCATTCTCCAGTACGGTGCTGCAGGACAGGTGAGTAGAGGATAAACCTGGGCCCTGGGTGGCGCGCACCTACAGGGTTTGTAGACTCCTCTCAGGCTCACGCGTAAGTGGTGGATTCCTTGGGCCTCACGCGGTGAGTAACATATTAAAAAAAAAAATGGGAAACATGCCAAGTAGCGGCACTAAGAGTGAGGGTAGTTACGGGGGGAGCTCTCAAGAACTTGTAGAAGTACGCGAGGTGTTTGAACAGGCACAGTCAAGGAGCTCCCGAGAGGGGTCCGTCAAGGAGGACAAAGGTACAGAAGAGGAAGACAGGGCTCAAGCCTCGGAGTCGTCAGACTCTAAGGAAGAGGGAGACTTGAATGACGGGGAGGCCAGAAGGGCCGACTGCCGGGAGGCTAAGCCAAGTGATAGGGAGGCACACGGCTCTTTCACCGCGTTGCGCCGAGAACTGCGCTCCGCTCAACTAGGCTTACGAAAAAGCAGAGAGCTTCTGAGCGCCCCCTGGCAGGGGAGGGAGACAGAACCTTCTGCTCCGCCCTGGAACTCGTTCCTGGAAGCGGTCCCTCGCCGCGAGGCCGCCGCCTGGGACTTCCCCCCTCTTCAGCCAGTACAGGAAGTAATGCCTAGGCCGCCATTTTCTACCCAACCGCGGCCGCCATCTTATGATGCTCCGCCGCCGGCGGGACGTTATTTCCACAGACAGCTGTGGTGTGGGGGTCGTGTGTCTAATGAAGACCACCCGTTCCCAGGGATAGATAGCGGCCCCTATGGGATATATCCTGTACAAATGGCCCTAGGCCAGGGACGTAATGTGTGGGAACCCTTTGAAATAAAACAGATTAGAGAACTTAAAAGCGCTGTTACGACCTTCGGACCTACTGCACCGTATACCATTGCCATGCTGGAGAACCTATCCGCCGGGCCCCTTACCCCCGCGGATTGGGTCCAGTTGGCAAAAGCCTGCCTGCCCTCGGGTAGTTACCTAGACTGGCGAGCCTGGTACGCGGAGTTCTCCGCCGAACAGGCTGAGAGAAATGCCAGCCGGGGAAACCGGGGATGGAATAAGGATATGCTTATGGGAGAAGGCCAACACGCAGATGATCAGACCCAGTTCCCCGGCGCTGTTTATGAACAAATTAATGCCATAGGGCTTCGCGCCTGGAAGCAGGTAAGTGGTGCTGGAACAGCCTCCCTATGTCTTTCAAAAATAGTTCAAGGCACCACGGAGCCATTCGTTGACTTTGTGGCCAGGATGCAGGATGCTGCCGATAAAATATTTTCCGACCAGGATGTGGCTCTTCTGCTCATCAGGCAGTTAATTTTTGAACAGTGTACAACAGAATGTAAAGCAGCAATAGCCCCACATAAGAATAAGGACCTTAACACCTGGATCAGAATATGCAGAGAAATAGGGGGGCCACTTTCCCATTCGGGAGTTGCAGCCCTCCTAGCCGCGGCAGTACAACAAAAGGGCCCTCGAGGGCCGAGGAAAGAGCGCAAGGCCAAGGGGTGCTTCAGCTGTGGGGACCCAGGGCATATCAAACGCGACTGCCCGAATAACACAAGTGCCAGGCCTCGCCCCAAAAACGAGGGATCGTATGGCGTCTGCGGGAGATGCAGAAAGGGCCCACATAAGGCAGAGGATTGCAGATCAGTCTATGATGCTCAAGGAAATCGTATTTGTGGCCGAGATGTTAACGAGCCAAAAAACGGCCAGAGGGGGCCCTCCTCGCCGGCGGGCCCCCACCCCCGAGACAGAACAACACAGGGTGGCAGCCTTCCACAAGGGCTACCCCTGGGTCAGCAGGCGTGGACCTCTGTGTCGCCTCCAGACTCATATTAGCGCCCGACATGGGTGTTCAGGTGGTCGAAACCACCTTCAAGGGACTGCTGCCTGAAAATACAGTTGGCCTAGTAATCGGAAGGTCCTCCACGGCCCTTTGGGGTCTCACCGTGATCCCTGGGGTCATAGACTCAGATTATACAGGAAATATTAAGATTATGGTTCAAACTCTTGTAGGTACTATGGTAATTAATGAGGGGGACAGGATAGCACAGCTCCTGCTGCTCCCCAGCCTCCATAAGAGGTTCCAGTACTCCACATGACTCTTGACAAGAGGCCCATGCTTTTGCTTAAGATCAATGGCAGACAATTAAAGCATGGTATCCCATACAATCCTCAATGTCAAGGAATTATTGAGAGAGCTCACAAAAGCCTCAAAGAAGTTTTATATAAACAAAGAGGGGGAGTAAGCCAAGGCCTGCCTCCAAAGGCACGGTTATCTATGGCACTGTTCACATACAATTTTTTAAATTTAAACAATAATAACCGCTCACCAGCTATGGAGCATTCTAGTCCATCTCCTAGCAATAAGGGATGGGTGAAATGGAAAGATGTCCTAACAGGACAATGGATGGGCCCGGATCCGGTAATCAGCTGGAACCGAGGTGCGGTTTGTGTTTTTCCGCAGGGACCGGGACGAGAACCACTGTGGGTCCCAGAGAGGTTGACGTGTGCGACAAGTCCCTCAACTGAAGATCAGGCCTGTTCCACCAGAGGCCAACCGCAGACCCAACAACAAGATGAGCCCTAAAAGAACTGCAGGACAATCCCTTTTTGGGGGCCTGGAACAGCTTGCTCCCCTATGTGCTACCCTTGTATACGCATGGCTCGCTCGCATGGCCTACGACCGCGTTTAAAAGTGACAGGCTTCCCACATTCTCCTCCCTAGACAACAACATGTAGCAGGGTAGGTGAGTCAATGACGGGTAAGAGCGTGCCTCCCCAGCACGACTCAACCTAAGCCAGGCCCTACCCCATGGCGCACGAAAGCCACTGGATCGCTAGATTCCGCCCCGAATCTAGATGCCTCTCCAAAGGGGATCATAAGGAGAGACCTGAGCGTATGCCTATGTGCACCCAGGTTCCGTCTGACCTATCCCTGGCCCTGGAAAAAAGGACGAGGGCCTCAAGGCCTTGGTGGACCCTGGGACGGCCGCCCGGGTTCCAACCCAAAGGCCTGCGGTGGGCCTAAGATACAGGGCGTAGGCCTCTACGCTCGATCCAGGACGGGCTGCGATGCGCTCGTTCTTGTAAAATAAAATAGGGGGAGATGTTGGGAGCCGCGGCCGAGCCCGGTCGCCTTACTTGGCGGATGTGAGGCCTGTAAGAAAGAGCAAAGCCTAAATTAGATTACCCCTCCCATCGAGTGTGCTAAGATGGCGCTTGTCTCCTGCTTCCTGCTTGGTAAACAACCCGCCCTGTAAGATAGTCTGCCTAGCAAAAACTGATGTTAGCCAATCAGCCCGCATCGCGCGCTTTGAACTGATTGGCCACTGTAACCCTATAAAAGTGAGTGCCTCTCCCACCACGAGAGAAGAAGCACGGAAGGAGCCACGGATAGCGGACCGGTAGAGGCTTCGGGACAGACTGTAGAGAAGAAGCACGGAAGGAGCCGCGGAGAGCGGACCGGTAGAGGCTTCGGGACAGACTGTAGAGAAGAAGCACGGAAGGAGCCGCGGAGAGCGGACCGGTAGAGGCTTCGGGACAGACTGTAGAGAAGAAGCACGGAAGGAGCCGCGGAGAGAGGACCGGTAGAGGCTTCGGGACAGACTGTAGAGAAGAAGCACGGAAGGAGCTGCGGAGAGCGGACCGGTAGAGGCTTCGGGACAGACTGTAGAGAAGAAGCACGGAAGGAGCCGTGGAGAGCGGACCGGTAGAGGCTTTGGGGCAGACTGTATAAGGAGAAAATAAAGAAAAGCCTGACCACCGCCAGATATTGTTGCGTGCTGTTCCTGCCGGCCGGGAGCGACACCAACAGAGGAGGAGCTGCGTGGATCCGGAGCGCCTGCAGAAGCCCCTTCCTTTGTCTGGAGGAGGAGGGATCCCAGGTTCCTGAGGCACCTCGGCCTGTGCCCAGCCACGCCTAGCCATTGGTGTGCAGAGGAGGAGCTGCTCGGATCCGGAGTGCCTGCAGAAGCCCATTCCTTTGTCTGGAGGAGGAGGGATCCCAGGTTCCTGAGGCACCTCGGCCTGTGCCCAGCCACGCATAGCCATCTGCGTGCAGAGGAGGAGCTGGGTGGATCCGGAGTGCACGCAGGAGGCCCTTCCTTTGTCTGGAGGACTGTGGATATCTCTGCAAGCAGGGAGGGATCACAACTCCTGAGGCACTGCGGTCTGTGGTGAGTACCCTAACCCGGCTGCGATCCAAGAGCTGTGGATCTACCAAGGGGCAGGTGGGCGCACAGTGTCCTTGAGGCCCAGCTTGTCTGGAACCGCGGAATTCTGAGCAAGCAGAGGAGGGCCATTGGTTCTGCAGGCCCAATGGCCTGGGGTAGAGTGGTGCCAGAGTCTCAGTAGCTGCAAACATAGAAGGGAATTTTCAACAGATCCTGAGGAGGCTTTCAAATAACA